CAGAGCCTCTAACTTTTACAAAGGAATAAATGTCATTTTATAATAGAAGTGATCTACTTTGTTATGATTTTAAACTACTAACCTATGGGTTACAATATGGCCAAGCAATTTGAAACAAACTTAATAAAGGTGGGCTTGGAAACAACTTTCTAAAATGAAAATGAACACAGCTCCAGACATATTCTAACAAGAATTTACAGTGATGTGATGGGCTGTGTACATTGACATTCTTCTAAATTCATATCTGTGACCCACCATGCAGCATGTGGTATCAAGGAGCTCGAATATAATCATCCCCTCAGCTCAAGTGGAATTGGCCATTCCTTCTACTTTAATATTGCATTTCTTACTATTTCAGAAAAGAAACTTACTTTTACATCAATCTTCAAGTTTCCAGGGCATTTAGGTTTCATCTAATCTGGTTTGTCTTAGTGTAGGTACAAATTTCCATTTCACTTTTGTTGAATACTCGCCATAGTGAGGTCTACTACCAGAAAATAAACGTCACTCGTTTGAGAGTAGCTGCAACTCTCAGCAAGCTTCCCCTCACACGGAGCTGAGTGCTCTGCTTCACACCCTCGGCTCGCGTTCCCCTGCAGTCCTCTTCAGTCAGCCTCCACGGAGCCCAGTCCTTCCTTCACGGAGCAATTGTCAAGGACTGGAAACTGATTTCCCTGCTTCTCTCAAGTCATCTCTTTTTCTGCGTAAATACCTCCAGGCTTTTGACATTTCTTTCCTGGGTCTATGTCTATCTGGTCTTCCCAGATTAATAGCCCTGCTCTGCTCATCCTCCCCTCAATGCACCTTGATATTATATTCATTTACGAATCAGTCATCACAATAATGTAGACAATACAGCTGGGGCTATGGAACCTCTTCCCTCCACTCACCTGAATTTAGGTAATTCCAAGGGCCAAACCCTCTTCTACCCTGTCCCAGACTGCACTATCTGGAGGCAGAGGTAAGAAATCTAAAGAGTCCTTGAGCCTGCCCTAGATAATTTCAAAATCCTAAACCAGGACCTGTGCATCCCAGATCCTCCTGCATAAGCTATAGCAACCATTCTTTACCTGGAGCTCGTTAAAGGTTTTCATGCATCCAATTATAACAGAATGAACTACGGAAAGGGCATGCACTATAGACACAAGTGACAGGAATGAGCATCCTGTCAATCATGATTTCAATCATGCTCTAAATGACCCCATGGGAGTGCTCTAGACCCTAATCCCTCAGCCCTTGCTCCATTTTCCTTTCACCAGCGCAAGCCTGCTCACTCTGGTGTATCGACACCATTGTCTCCTTACTGTCATATACCGCATCGAGTTCTTTATTCATTGTGCATGAGAACCTAGGAATCAGTCTGGGAAGCCACTGCATACAGTAACAATAACACTGGCACATATCACACTCTCCATAAGACCAACGCTTGAGATTTTTTTTCTGGACACCAAGAATTTCCCAACTTCCATTTAACTGCCTGATTTTACTTAGGTACTTATTTTTCATCTTCTTCTTCTCCTTTTTTTTTTTTTTTTTTTTTTTTGGTCTAAGTACAAGAATTAAATTTCTCATCTCATTATTTTTATCCTATATTTCTAGCCTGTCAAGATACTTGTGAAGTGTTTCTTCAGTATACTGAACACTCCCTCTCAATTGGCTGTCATTTGCAAATTTACTAAACCTGCATCTTTACCCACGAAACTGGCAGATACATAAAATCTGGGATGCCACTCAGGCAGTGAGTGACAAGAATGGACATGAGTCTTACTCTATGAGCCTTTCCTGGTACTGGTGACCTTGCTTCCCTGCCAGAGGGCTTAGGGATATGTAAGGATCCATGTTAAACTTCTGCAGCACTTGACAGTGATCTGTCTCAGATTTATGCCTAAATTGTCTCATCTTCTTCCTTTATAAACCTCAAACTTGTCCCTGATTAGTTTCCTTTTTTTTGAGTTTCCTTCCTATGTGTCATTTTCCAAGCAGTACTCAGTGAGGAGCTCCGTGGGAAGCCGCATGTTTATTTAGCTCCACATCCTTCTCTTTCTCTTATGGGATCAGTGTCTGCTTAGAGGCTGACCTAGCAAAGCAATGACTGGAGGGCATTACTCTCTCTAGGCACTTGTGGAAACCGAGTCGTCAGATGAATATTTACATAGCTGGGAATGCAGATGGGGTTGCCTCTCACTGAACTGCATGTTACTTTCAAAGGAAAACTTAAAAACACTCCTGGCTGATCCTGTTCCTACTACAAGATCAAACAGTTAAGGATTACCAGTTTGAAGGGCCAATGACCGGTCTCCCTAAGCACCCAAAGTTCCTTCCTTGGGTCTGCCTGTGACTCTTTTGATTGTATTGGCAGAATTGTATTCTCAGCAGGTCCAGTGATGTCTTTTTTGCTTCTCTGTCACTGTGGAAGATGCAAGTGCCATTAGGCAAAGCTGAGTTAGCCTGGTCACATATTACACTTATCAACCACCATCTTTGAGTGGACTAAGTGGAGGACTTTAAGTCAATGAGTCTTAGTGGTGGTGATTTTGCTCTTGTGGAGGGATTTCTAGCAATGTCTGGAGTTCCTTTTGGTTCTTATAACTTGGGAATTACTTGCATCCGTGAGTGAGGACTGAGGATACTGCAGTGCACAGGACAGCCCCAAAGCAGAATTTTGTCATCCACGATGTCACTAGCATCACAGTTGACAGTGAGACTGCTTTAAGAAAAGAAATCTAACAGTTCTCAGCATGGGTGTCCTTCTCGGTACTATGAGGGTTGTGTTAGTATTGCATCACTATGACAAAACACTCGAGAATTTCCTGAAGTTTAAAGGTGGGAAAAGTTAGTCCACAGTCAGCTGGTTCCATTGCTGTGGACCAGAGGTGGGGCAGAACATTCTGATGAAAAGGCCCGGTAGAGCTAAGCTGCTCATCTCATCATGGCCAGTAAACAGGGACAGAAAGCGCAGAAATGAAGGAACCAGAGACAAAATAAACACGTCAAAGCCAAAGGGAGCTGCTTTATCCAATCAGGTTCCACCTCCTAAAAGTTGATTCAGCTAGTGAACTCAGGAGGACCAATAAGCTCTTCCACTTGATGAAATTAGAACGCTTTGGGAAAGCCAATCAGCTCTCAGCACAGGAGACTTTGGGAGATCTGTTATATGTAAACCATAAGAAGGGCACAGTGGTTTGGGGTGGTATTGGGAGGGGTGTAGACTGTCCTACACACACTGTAGATAGCATTATCATTGATTGGCAGAAGCAGCAGACAATGACAATTATTTCCATTACTTATATGTTAGGTTGGTTAAGTCCTAAGATGTGATCAGCTTAAAGGTAAAAGAATAGTTCATTTACTCCAGAAATCTGCTTTGAACATTTTCTCTATGCCAGGCACTAATCTTGCTGCTGCATATAGATCAAAAAATAAAATTTAAAAAAGGCAAACAATCTCAATGCAAGACAAATGAACTCTATGTTCTTCACTTCAGTTTTGAGAAAATCCTGGCTCTCAGAAGTTAAAGTAGCAAAGCATTAAAGCCACAACATCAACAGAGATGGGCCTCAACTCAAGTCTAACACACTCTGCCTACATCTGTTCTATTCTATTATTGCCAAATCTCTGATAAACTAAAACAAAGAAAAACTACAAACCAAAGGAAGTTCGGCTCTGTGACATATCTATATATATCCATGTATATTTATATCTATAATATATATATATATTAAAGCTGATTGGAGATAGCCTTGTCTTGGCTTAAACTGTCTTCCATAAGCTACCTTTAGATTCCAAAGGTCTCAAGACTCCACCCACAAATACACCAACACTGCTACATTCTGAGCCTGCAGCTTATGAGGAGGAAGGGAGATGGATCATGCACGTGCAAACCACTGATGATGCCTCATTTTTTGGGAAATAATGAATTATCTTTCCCCACATCTCTGACCACCCTGATTTTTTAATCCCTAAACACCCCTGAATCCTATTCTTGGGGAGGTGGTTTTGAGTTGGGAGGTAGGGTGGGCAGGGCCTCTCCATGTTTGACTGTCTTGTGAATAAAATTGTAGAAGTTTTGTTTTCCAGATGTTTCCAAATACGTCAGCAGTCTGCAGTGTTTCTTTTGCTTCTGTACATGGGCTTGTACCAGAGGTACAAGCTGTACCCGACCTGTTACTGTTTCTGGTTTGTTCTCATATTTGTAAAGCCACACTCCCTCACAAAAGATCCCTGCTTTGGGGTACACAGCTCCTCTGAACCTGCTGGTGTAAAAAAGTTTGGTTTTCTCCACTTGTTTGAGTGTCAGTTTCTTTCCGTCTGATAAACCTAAAATTGCTATATCAAAACCTCTTGCAAAATTTATGGCTTCAGGAATTGACAAACTGGGTGGGGGAAAAATGGACTGGGTGTGTAACATCCTCACTACCTACTCTGAATACAAAGAATGACTTCTCCACAGCCCACACATCACCACCAACTTAATTCCCATCCAAAGGTCACAGTACCCATTTTCATAGTAAAGAGAAATGTCCATGGCTCATAAAATTTCTAAACTTATGACATCTGTATTTTCGTCTGGATAGCACCAACCTCTTATATGGAAGAGAAGGGCAGAGGCAACTCGTAAGTCCAATCACACTCAGGGAAAGTGTATTCTAATTCCTATTACAGTTGCAAATAATTTGTAAATAATATCCACTAGGTGTCCTTGGGGGTAGGAGGAAAAGAAAATCACACTGACATGCTTACATAAAGAACAAGTTAAATGCTGCTCCTAGTTAGAGGTCTCTAATAAACCAAAGAGCACATGATGGTTTGATTGATCATGGTTCTTGGAAAACCACTCAGAATCACAGTGTTAACTTCTCTTCATGGAGAACATGCCCGTGACTGACACTAGTGAGATAAATTTCTGGTAATGTTAAAATTCAAATTCACATCAGGTAATATAATTCTCACACCAGGTATATTGCTCACATACATTTATACCTAATGAACCAAATTCTTACCTATAACTTTTCCAAGAAAGAGTGACTTGGGAGAATTGAAGAGTGTGTCTGATGAACTTGGCAGATGGTAACTCACTGAAGGATAATGATCTAGCTGTAGGGAGAAAATAAGGCACATGATTAGGACAATGTCATCATCCCACACTGGAATAGACTCTTCACCGGGAGATGACATCACTCTTTGAACCCTGGTTTCCTGATATCTTATTTAACCAGCCCAGACTCTGAAACCCAACCTGCGAAAATGGAAGTCCGTTTCTTCTTGTGGATGGAGAGAAGATAGAAGGTGGCTATTTGAAAAGAATTTGAGCTTGGTAAATGAAGAAACTTTCTGAGTTGATCTCCAGTGGTGGATACTCTAAGTGGATATGCTGTCTGCCTGTGGAATTAAGATCTTTGTTCATTTTAATAGAATGAAATTTGCTTGATCCAATCTCTCTAGTGCTGTTCTCTGAGCTGCACTGATAGCACTGAGCTTTCCTAAGGAGCCTTTCTCTGAACTATGTCCTTCACTTTTGCATGAGTACAGGGCAATATTGATCTTCAGATGCATGCACGCACACACACACACACACACACACACACACACAGACACCATTGGTGCAATTTAATACAGCTTTTGTGCTTCTTTCTTGCTGTGTATTTTGAGCTTTTAACCACAGCCTAGTTACGTTTATGTAGAGCTTTCTGGATTTTTCTGTGTTCACTTGTGTGAAACCTCTCCTTTGGCCCCATTCATCCCTCTGCAGTGAGTTCCACACCTGCTGGAGTGGCAGAAGGACAGGTGTGGGTCATAAAACTGGTTTTGCTTCCCTATTCTGCATTCTCGTGGGAACCACGTGGATTATGTAGAGAAAGGAGCCAGCACAAGCAGCCACTTGTTGAAGGTGGCCCCACGGGCACCCCCAAACTGCTACACTAGCAACTGGGGCTGAAGAGGAGAAAAACCTCCCGTTGGCAAGGATGGAGGGGCAGCTGTGACCCGAGGCAGGACGCGTGTCAGCGAGATCGTACAGGGAGCCAGGGAGCCAAGGAGCCTCCCACCTCACTGAGAAGCAGTGTCTTTGGAGATGATCATTCATTATTTATGAGTATGTACAGCTGACTTGGGAAACTGCCTAATGGGAACTCCGAGATCGTTGAGCGGGCAGGGTGCACTGTTTGAGTCATCTCATCTCCTGGATTTTTGAGAATTTTGACTTGCAGAACTGGTTCTGTAAGGTTTTTTTTTTTTTTTGCCTATGTAGGATTGCAGCAAAAGTTCAAAGAGAGGGGGAAAAACTATTAAAGCAGACATACGCATATTTGACCGTCATTTCGAAAATGTTCTCTAATGACAAATGCATCACTAACAAGGCAGCTTTTCTAGCCATAGAATCTTAAATATTTGAAAAAATTTGATAAAGGTTCTTTGGAGCAAAGGCCATTCGTGTTCGCTGGTAAATATCCGCTGGCTGCTTTGGCGCCACCTCATGGCACACTTGGGTAACTGCTGCTTTATCTCCTCCATTGTCAAAGGCCAACAATACCTCACAGGGACAATCTCCCCAAATACTTTAATAGATTATCAATACAAATGCTTAATACAAAACAGATTGTCATTTAATCTATTTTGTTAAAAAACTTAAAAATGGTTACAGAAATAAACATTCATTATAGAAAAATAATAATACAAAATTTTCAGGGAAAAATCTCCTATGGTGATAATGAATGGACATTTTTTAATGTTGATTCTTTCATTGCAAAGTCAAATGAGCGGCAAGGCTGAGAGAAGTCGAAGTTTGATAACAAACCTCTTTAGAATTGCTTCCAGCGGCTTTTAGGCTCCACCCTATACATTTTAGCCACTGTCTACAACTGTGCCCAACCTGTTATAAGCACTGCGGTCTAACTGCTTTTACAACGTTCAGCTTCTTGCTAAGGAAAATACAGCGCCTGTTTCTGTTTCTTTCTGCTGGATGGTACTCGGCAGGACTGACCATATTTCTGATCACATCTCAAAAAGGCGGCATGAAAGACGACTTCCGGAACCGCTTCAGAAAGCGGCAGGAAAGTGGGAGCGCTTTGCGGGAACTAATAGCAATGTGTCCTTTTCTGTAACAAATCTTTAAATTTTAAACATTCATCACATATTTTGATCACCCCTTTAATGCAGAAAAACCTTATGTTTGCTTCTCTTACTCTCTGTTTATCAGCTTAATCTTCAGGACCAGCTGGGAGACCCTGACAGAGAGGAGTTTTGCTTCCCAATTAGCCCACACCCTCCAAGTTTGTCCATCTTGGGGTCCACTCTCTCAGCCTTGGGACCTCCCTAGACCTGATCGGTACCTTTATCACAGTCACTTCGTATATCTGCAGCCTGTGTTTTGCTGACTGTGTGGCTTTGGTCTCCTTTCTGGGTGCAGGTCTCATACTTTCTGAGCAAATGGATGCCCCAGTCCCTCAGTTTGAAGGGACCAGATAACAGGAGGACAAGAGCACACCTGCTCTTTACCACATTTTGTATGGCATTTTATTTAATACACATTAAACAGGTATTTTCTTTACTTCTTTTGGTATTGTTTTTAAAAATCCAAAGTCACAAAGGGTAGGGTTGGTCTTCTTAACCAGCTATGCCTGACTACGGGGACAGAGTGGCCTGTGGTGGGGTGACAATGTCTCTTGACCACAACTAGCCTGCTCGCGTCCATTAGGGATGGGGAGCATCAACTGCATTTTACATATTTACATTCAAAAGACAAAATCAGATGAGGCAAGAGAAGCTCAACCTGAAAAGCCCAAAGAAATGACAGAGTCCAGCGTTTCACTTACAGTAACAGGTGTCTTCTCCTCCCAAGTGGACCTGGCCACATTTGCCACGGTCAAGTGTGATAATTTCAAGGTAATTTCTTTGGGGTCTGAGTGAGCTATTCGGATGTACATTTAGCTGGTTGTCATTTTGCTGGCAGTTAAAAGGCAATAGGAGATGGTGTAATAGAGTCTCATTACATGTGCCCCAGGACAACCTTAAGGGGACACTCATTAGTTCAACATTTACCATTAAGCCATTAAAAGCATACTGATGCAGGCTGGGCCTCCTGTCTTACATACTGGAGTTAAAGCTTTAATGTCTGCCCAGGTATTATTTTGCAATTTCCATTTTTAAACCACAGTTTGCATTGGCAGAGTTCAAAGGGATTTTATCTGGCTGTTTATGTTTTGGATATGAAACAGAGAAGAAATTGCTAGACGGTATGGACCATGTTGGACTGAAGGAGGGGCTGGGTGCCCTCTTCTGAGATTGAGGGACAGAGTTTTGCAGCAGCCCTGACTCTGTGATGGGGGCAGAATTCTGGGGCTCTGGACAAAGGCCTGAGATTTCCTGCATCCTTCCCAATGCCGGTGGTGGCTGGGAAGCAGAGGAGAGGGGAGGACCCAGAGGGACAGGGTCCAGGGACCAGATCTCTGCTCCAGTCACACCCATGACTCACTCCCTCTCTTTATAACCAGGGCCTGCTTCCTAAATCCCATTCACAACATCAAATTATGGTCTTTTCAATCGTTGCTCAAAGTACAGCTCTCAACTCAATCTCCTCTAAAGGCCCCGTTTTGGATCACACGGGGTTCACATGCAGGACTTCCTGTCTTCTCTTTGCCAGGGTTACCAGGGGACTTTGCCAACTACAGTAACGCCTACGTTTACCACATAAGGGAGGAGGGCAGGGTCAGGGTGTCATCTTGTCTGTGCCACTGAACAGCTGTGATATTAACAAGTCACAAAGCCACCAGTTTCCTCATTTGTGAGACAACAGGTTGGATCAGACACTAGTTTCTTTGAGAATGATTCACTACAATGGACCAGAAAAATACCAGAGTAGTATTTTTCCAGACTTTTGTGGCATTCAGCAGAGGTCTCCTTCTAAGATCCAGCTCTGGGGTGGCACCTATTTGGGTGTCATTTAAGGATACTGTCATTGCAACGCACCAGAAAGGGACAGAAGGCAGGAAGAGAAAGCGAGCCCCACAAAGGCGTGAGCCTCCTACTGGCTGTTCTGAGACCCTGTAATAATAGCAAACTCCCTGGGGCTGGTGGCTGTTTTCCAAAAAGTCACTGGGGTCTCAAAATCAAGGACTTAGGAGACAGATTTTTCTTTACTGTGCATGCTTTTCCCTTCCATAGATGCCAGGTGCCTTTGCATGACTTGATTACCAATTTTAAAATGTGAGGTATTATATGTATTCATTACAATTGTCACGGTGCCTTTGTTAGTATGGTAATGTAATCAGTCAAATATTGCTGCCTTTTCAGGCCAAGTGCATTTGGAATTCTTCCATATTGATGCATTTAAAAGAATTAGTGAGGCCATTAGGTGATTTGTATTCTATATAAAATTTCCTCAAAATAGTAGAAAATGTCAGCCCGCACTGTTTGATCACGTTCTCTAGTCTAATGCGCCACCTACTGGAAAAACACCAAATCATACTTCAAGCATAAGATTTTTTTTTTTTTAAGTAAGAACATTTTGTATCAATGAGTCTGTATAACTTTAGAATACACATCATTGAATGGGCAGAGAAATTTTCATTTTACAGCTGACTAGCATTTCATTAAACCTAGAGGTGTTTATAGTATACATTTCTCCCAAACTATGTAATTGTTTCAAAGAACCTTGTTAGAAAAATTTAGCACTTCTAGGTTTGTGCATTTACCAAACAAATATTCAGAAGCTACTTATCATGCATTAAAAAACAATGTTGAAACAGTGTCTAATAATTTTATTTCAAGCTCCTTTGGTGGAAGTCTGAGAATACATCATGGTTGCAATATAATTTTATATTTAAAATCACTTTAATGGCCACCGGCTGTAATCACCATACATTGTGGATACTTTAGAAATTAATTTATATAATGAGCATCAGTGACTTCTATTTTAGGCTGTATTTTTCCTGCAGTGCTCAAGGCAAAATACATTTTGGTAACTTACCAAGTGACTTTTCAGGAATAAACAAATGTATGGGAGAAAGGCAGAAGGAGGAAGACAGGGAAGAAGAATAAAAAATTCAGGAGAGTGCTTTTGAAAACATGAATGAGTGTAATATAATATTGCTCATTTT